TCTCACCCTTCCCATCCAAGCTAGAACGATATATAATTATATATGGCTATAAGAGCACGTACGTACACGTGTTGGGCCCAGCTGGGTGAAAATAAATTCAACGGCTCGGAGAGACTCTTGTCCAGAACATGTACGGAGTATTGTTGTTGCTCTTTTAAACAACTTGTAGATTTGTAATCCAAAATATCAAAATTTGACATTTTAAAGTTTGGAATCCTAAGTTGCATGATTGGAACAAAATTGGGAGGGTAAAATGGAAAAGGGGGTCTGAATTGGAGCCGTGGAGGGAGCTAAAAATAGATATGTAAAAAAAATATGTTGAGTGATTTTATTGATAAAAGAATGTTAGGAAAACTGTATTGGCAGAGTCCATACATTATTTACATGGATTTCATATTAAAATTTTATAATGGTGCAATGATATGGGTAGTCTTAGTCCTTAGTTATTATTCACATTAAAATATAATTCTCGTACTTTAATTGAATTTACATTGTTAATAATTTGTAACTTTGACATGGTCAGAGTTGAAACTAAGACACTATAGAATTAAAAACTTTTGTATGCATTTTCAGAATCTTCCGCATCAACAATTTTTGTCTCTAAAGTTTAGCCATACAAAAAATGGCGGTCACAAAATTCATTCATAAATAAAAGTGTTAGACTGTTAGTCTATAATAAACAAAAATGTTTCGGACTCGACAAAAAAGTGTATTTTTTTGTTCATATTTTCAAAATCTTTTGAATAGACAATTTTTTCTATAAAATATGCCATAGACAAAACAATTCGACCAGAGAAATCCCAATTTACAGTAATAAATATCTCATATAAACAAAAATGTTTCAGGCATGGTAAAAAAATTGTATGCTTTCTTGTATGCTTTATTATGGTTTGAAAAATGGATTTTCCGAGGGATATTTTTTGTCTGTTCCCTAACTTCACAAACAAACATTGTCTGTCCAAAAGATTCTTAAAATATATACTTAGAGCCCGTTTGGTAGCACGAAAATCGGCTGTTTTGGCTGATTCTGCTGATTTAAGAAAAAAATTTAAAATATATTTTATTAATAAAATAAAGAAAAAATTATGTGTAAAAATAGCTAAAATGGTCATCTACAGTAAGTTCAGCCAATACAGCCAGAAAAGTAACTCAAACCTTACTTTTTCTGCTTATTACACAATTCAGCACGCGAAAGCAAAAGTTATGTGTTCGGTGAAAAAGTTGGCTGATAAGCCTGATAAACCGAAAAACAGTATTGCCAAACAGCCTCTTAGTATATAAAAATACAAAACATCCCTCGAACATTTTTTGTTAGCATAAGACATTTAGTATCTACAGAATTAGATTTTTTTGACTGGCATTTTTTTGCCCAGGAGCCAAATTTACATAAGAAAAAGTTAATGTGATTAGTTTTGAAAATGTTTACAAAAAATACATTTTTAGTCTTATTTGAAACTTTTATCTGTGCAAAACATTTATTGTCTGTAAATTTGGACTTTTTGACAGACGTTGTTGTTGTGAACCTGAAGTTCTCATGTAACACCGCCCCCAAATGTATTTACTTGTAAGTGAATAATGTATTGAACCTGGTGGAATGATTAATGAGAATACGAAGTTGTGAATTTTTATTAATTATTTTGCGCGAATAGTAAATTCGCACGTGGGGCCCACACCGGGAGCGGGGGCCGCCCAATATTCCCCGGACCACATAAATTATTCATCTTGGTCTAGATAATATTTATATGGTGGTGGATAACTCATTTGAGCCATGGAAAGGTCCAGAGTTGACCAATCGGTCAAAAGAGGCCCAAATACCGGTATTGGCAATTTAACCGATAAAAGCCCGAAATTGAATTTCGGGGACTTATAAATTAAAGTTGGGGGATGTATATTCTTCATAAGTGTCATAATGATTAATAACACATAAAATATTTTATTCGACCCGATAAAATAAATTATATTTAAACAGTCCGAAAAATACAACTTTCGGGGCCGATTGTACACTTCGGGACACAAGGGGATGACCTCCCACATGAGTGGGGGCCACCCCACGTTTTTATGTGCTGGAATAGACAAACATGGGGGATGGTTGACTTGGAAGGAGAGGGGTGAGGTGATGAGCATCAAAGGTACACCTATGACCCCATTTCCCTCACTCATTGGTCCAAACAAGACAAAAGCTATCCACCCCCCTCACCACCATCATTCATTCGGCCAACACATCTCAAGCAAGAGAAAAACCTCCCAGCAAAATATCATCCTCCATAGCCAAGGGCAAGCTCAAGCTCAAGGAGAAAGTTCAAAGAAAGAAAAAGGAGGAAAAGTGAGGTGTATTAAGGTAATGACCTCATAATGAGTTTCCTTCATTCCTTTACCATCATATGACTTATATAGCATAGGAATAACCCTTGTTATGGTTCTACATATTTACATATGTAGGAAATTGGGTTGGAAGGTGATTCTATGTCCAAACACGGACATAGAAGCCAAAACGACCGGTGTACCGGAAAATAACCTTTTAGGGGTTATTTGTATTGATTAAGGTTTTATGATGTTAAAACCTTGTTAGGAACTTGATTAAAGTATTTTTGAGCTTCACCGGAGTTTCGCCGGAGTTGGTCAAAGTTCACCGGAGTTGGTCAAAGTTTGCCGGAATTAGTCAAAGTTCAACCGCGGAGCGTAGAACACGCTTAAGCTCACTTAAGGTGAGGATGACCGACTATATTGCTTATAATCTTTGGGTTAATTTCATGAGATTCCCTAAATGAATATACAATGTGATTTGCATGGATTATTAATGGTTAATAATGCCTAAATGAAATTACTATTGATTATAAGTATAGCTTGCATAATATACAAATTTATTGAATAAATTGTGTATGTCTAAATGTTATGAATATGGTGGCATGATAGTAGTATCAACCATAAATTCCCATTTGTGATAAGTATACTTTTATTTCATGAGAAAAGGCCATGAAGGAATAAAAGTGATATTTTGATATTGAGACCAAATTACATATTGAATGAAGAAATTATTACATTGAAATGAGTAAATAACTAGTATTGAAATATTAGTTGGAATTGTAGTTGAATAATGGATGAATGGATCCTAGGAAATTGAATTGTAATGAATCGGTGATTATTGAGCTGGGCTCTAGACCGTAGTAGTTATCGGTGATTATTGAGCTGGGCTCTAGACCGATGTAGATAACGGTGATTATTGAGCTGGGCTCTAGACCGTGGTAGTTATCGGTGATTATTGAGCTGGGCTCTAGACCGATGTAGATAACGGTGATTATTGAGCTGGGCTCTAGACCGTAGTAGTTATCGGTGATTATTGAGCTGGGCTCTAGACCGATGTAGATGACGGTGATTATTGAGCTGGGCTCTAGACCGTAGTAGGTAACGGTGATTATTGAGCTGGGCTCTAGACCGTGATAAGAAATGATGAATTGACACTAAACGAATAAAGTTAACCACGATATAATAACACCCTAGGTTGAGGGTCTTGGAAATTGAAACGTTGATTATATTTAGTATAGTTGTCATTGTACTTGTCAAATGCTTCCAAGTACTGACCTCCCCTTCACGGGGGAGGCCACCTCACAGTTTCAGGTAGAACTTGAAGGTTGCTACCACCGCCCGTTGCTTCGGGAAGATCAAAGGAGGGAGACGTGGTTCGTGCTTCTTCCGTTCCTGTTTTAAAAACATTTAAATTAATGCTCATGGATATTATATTTTTGAATAATTATTTGGGGGCTTGTATGCCCAAGTTTGCCAAGTGTGGCATGAATATTTGTATCAAATGTTTCCGCTGCTTGAATGAATGTTTTACATTATGCTTGTTTATGGATGTACTATGTGTGAATGATATCCCAGACGCCTTGTATAGTATGGATGTGTTGAACTGTGGTTGACTATTCGTACTGTACGGCGGATTGTTGACGTGTCCGGATAGGTCCGGGGCGTGACAATTTAATTGGTATCAGAGCCATAGTCCGTAAACTTCATAATGAAGCTTCAAAATCTCTTTTCGAAAATGAATTTGAAAACCATGAGCATAAAAGTTTTGTACTTATAGAACTTTTGGTACTTGAGTTGCAAAGTCTCTAATTGTTAAGATGGTACCCTTAACAATTGGTATGACGGTGATTTGAGCCAAAGGATGTCTTTAAGTACCTATCCGTCACTTGACATTGATACGAGTCTAATGACTCATTCTACTTCCTTTCAGAAATGGAGCCAGTCGGAAGGGTCACTAGGAGGAACCCGACGGGCCGTGTACCGGGTGGGTCCGAGCGCGGTAGCCGGGGGTCCTCTAGGGGATCAAGAGGAAGAGGCCGCGGAGGCCGACAACAACAAACCGTAAGCGATGGCCACGTCGATACGGAAAGCGAGACCTATTGGTCTTATGAGGACTCGACCTACCGGCCGGAAACTGAGCCGGTTGAGACCCCTTATGAAGGGGATGACGACGATGTTAGTGACGAGGAGGAAAATGGCTCCTTGGCTAGGATTGAAGCACTGCTCCAACAATATCATCGGGAGCGTGAGGAAAGGAGAGAACGCCGAAGGCGCTGTGCGGGGCCACCTTCGGGCGGGGCTCCAAGAGGGAGGAGCTACTGTGATTCGAGGACCCATGTAGAAGCGCATGGGAGCCGTGGTGATGGAGGTCCAACCATAAGGATCTCCAAATACATCAGGGAGGCGAGAGACTTGGGGTGTAAACCGTTCGATGGGACGGGAGACATCTCAGTTGCCGCGCAGTGGATCAAGAGGCTGAACGAGGCAGCCCTTGACATGCAACTCACCCCCGATTTCAAATTGAGAATCGGGGTGAGGTTACTTGAAGGGTTAGCATCCAAGTGGTGGGATGGAACCAAGGGTAAGTATGGCGGGACAGTTACTTGGGAGGATTTTCGGCAAGAATTCTTTGCCCAATACTACTCCGACTTTGAGGTAAACGCCAAGGTGAGGGAGTACACTCTTTTGACCCAAGGGGGGTAACATGACGGTGAAAGAACTTGAGCATAAGTTCAGGGACCTTGCCGACCACATACCGGAGTATGCGTGTGATGAGAACCGAATGGTGAATCACTTTTGGGAGGCCTTGGACTTGGAGATACGTGATAGGGCGACTCAATTGCCCAACATGACTTTCAGCCAAGTGGTTGCCCAGGGGTTGAAGGGAGAAAAGCAATGGGAGGAAAGGAAGAAGAGGGACGCCGAGGAGGCAAAGAAGAGGAAATGGGAGAGCCATGGCCCCCAAGGTTCTAATAAGAAAGGGAACCATGGGGGAGGAGGATCATTCAGGGCACCGGCACCACCATCTAGGGGAGGCTCAGGCACGGGTGGACAAACCTCGGGCTCGCAAGCCCCAATGATGATTAGATGCAGGAATTGTAACCGGAACCATGGGGGTAAGTGTCGTGACCCTCCCCGGTGCTACCAATGTGGAGACACGGGGCATATTAAACCAAATTGCCCTCAACTTGGTGGGAACCGAGGGGTGGGATCAAGCGGCGCTACCACGGCAAGTAGGAACCGAAGCGGAGCACCTCATGCTAGTATGGGGCAGGGGGGGAGCGAGCACAAGCAACGCGCCGTCCGTGAACCAAGGAAGGACTCAAGCCAGAGTCTACGCAATGACCGAGGCCGACGCTCGGGCCAACCCCGACTCCGTTGCAGGTAATCCCTTGTAACGATTGATAAATTACATGTATTGAGTGCTAAAAGTGATAGCGGGTTTGTACGGGCTCGCCGGGGCCGATACCGGCCGGTTCCCTAGCAAAAAGTTGCGAAAATAAACTGCCCAGGAGTAAACCGGCGCCGGTCGAGGCTTAAACCGGCGCCGGTTCTAATTAAAAGCCTTCGTTTTGAGGTCGCCGTGGGTAAACCGGCGCCGGTTTTGGCCCATAACCGGCGCCGGCCAAGGGTCGGGGAGGCTTATCTAATGAAAAATTTTATTCCGGGGGACGCCGTAGCAAAACCGGCGCCGGTTTTGGCCATAACCGGCGCCGGTCTAAGGGGAAAGAGGTCGGAAAAAATCACCGTGCTCGCAACCGGGGCCGGTTTTGAGTTTTCCGATGTTGCCGAAGGTGAACCGGCGCCGGTTTTGGCCATAACCGGCGCCGGTCCAGTTTAATTTGTGAGTATCCGGCCACCCCGAAGGCAAACCGGCGCCGGTCTTGCCTAGAACCGGCGCCGGTCCAGTGTATTTTCACCTGAAATGTGTTGTTAAGCCCCGTTTCGATCCGGTACGTTGAGTGGTGTGTCTTACATGACTTATATATGTAGGAACATTAAAGATCAATGGTAGAAACGCAAGAATTCTCATTGATACCGGGGCACAACGTTCATTCGTGAGTGAAGCGTTTGCCGAAAGTTTAGGCGTGCCGTTGATAGTAATGACACAACCCTTGTTGGTCTCTACACCGTTGGGAGACGATGTGGAAAGGAAACACTACTATCCTTCGTGTGAGGTAGAAGTGACGGGTCAACCTTTGACTTGTGACTTCGTACCTCTAAGCATGTTAGAATTCGATGCAATTCTAGGGATGGATTGGCTCGAGAAACATCATGCTCGAGTGGATTGTTATGCCAAGGTTTTGGAACTCGAGGATGCTGAGGGAAACACTCTACGTTTCGAGGGAGATCGGGGAGGATCTCATAGTTGCATAATATCCGTGATGAGGGCACGGAAGATGATGAAGAAGGGATGCCACGCATACCTCGCTTACGTGGTGGATGAAGCAAAGAAGGAGGTTGACATCAACGATGTACGTGTCGTGTGCAAATATCCGGATGTCTTTCCCAAAGACTTGCCGGGGCTTCCACCCGACAGGGAGATCGAATTCGTAATTGAAGTGGAGCCGGGAACCAAACCCATTTCGATTCCTCCTTATCGAATGGCACCGGCCGAGCTTCAAGAGTTGAAGGTTCAACTTCAGGAGCTATTGGACAACGGGTTCATTAGACCCAGTCATTCACCGTGGGGAGCACCCGTACTCTTCGTAAAGAAGAAAGATGGTACACTAAGAATGTGTATAGACTATCGACAGCTAAACAAGGTCACAATCAAGAACAGGTACCCTTTACCGAGGATTGATGACTTGTTCGATCAACTTCGAGGGGCAACAGTATTCTCGAAGATTGATTTAAGGTCAGGGTATCATCAGCTGAAAATAAAGGAGAGTGACGTACCCAAGAGTGCTTTTCGCACTAGATATGGTCACTACGAGTTTTTGGTGATGTCGTTTGGTCTAACCAACGCACCGGCGGCATTCATGGACATGATGAACCGTGTGTTCAGTGAATACTTAGATCAATTTGTGATAGTATTCATTGACGACATTTTGATATACTCCAAGGGTGAAGAGGAGCATGAAGATCATTTGAGTCTTGTACTTGAACGACTAAGGGAAAAACAACTCTTTGTCAAATTCTCTAAATGCGAGTTTTGGCTCAAAGAGATTGGGTTTCTCGGGCATGTCGTGTCAAGTTCGGGCATTTCGGTGGATAAAGCCAAGATAGAAGCTGTTATGAATTGGGAGAGACCCAAAAATGTGAAAGAGATACGTAGTTTCCTTGGCTTAGCGGGATACTATCGTAAATTTGTTGAAAAATTTTCCGTATTGGCGTCTCCATTAACAAAGCTCACGAAGAAAGGGGCCAAGTTCATATGGGACGACAATTGTGAGAAAGGCTTTCTTGAACTAAAGAAACGGCTTACTGAAGCACCGGTTCTCGCTCTACCCACACAAGGGATAGGGTATGACATATACAGTGATGCTAGCATCCAAGGGCTTGGATGTGTACTCATGCAGAACGGTCGGGTGATTGCCTATGCTTCTAGGCAATTGAAGAGACACGAGGCGAACTACCCTACCCATGATCTGGAGTTGGGGGCGGTAGTGTTTGCACTAAAGATTTGGAGACATTATCTCTATGGAGAGACATGTCACATTTTCACCGACCATAAGAGCCTCAGGTATGTATTCACTCAGAAGGAGTTGAATATGAGGCAAAGGAGATGGATGGAGTTGATCAAGGACTATGACTTGATCATCGACTATCATCCCGGAAAGGCCAATGTAGTGGCCGATGCACTGAGCAGGAAGGGTACGTCGGGGACATTACTCACATGTCTACGAACTTTGAGGGCACAAGTGGAGGTGTCCACGAGTGGGGTCCTCATTGCTAGATTCGAGGTTAGACCTACATTGCTGGGTGAGATCAGTAGATGTCAGGCCATTGATGAAGAATGTCAGAAGATCCGGGAGAAGATCCTTGAAGGGCCCGTGGAGGACTTTCGAGTACGTGATGACGGTCTTTTACTGTTTAAGGACCGGGTATGCATACCAAAGAGTGAGGAGCTCCAAAAGTCTATACTAGAGGAGGCTCATTCTTCGGCATATGCTATGCATCCGGGAGGTACTAAAATGTACCGAGACTTGAAGGAAAGTTACTGGTGGTCGGGTATGAAGAGGGATATCGCAGAGTACGTGAGCCGATGCCTTATTTGCCAGCAAGTTAAGGCGGAGCACCAGCACCCGGCAGGGCTTTTGCAGCCACTGACCATTCCGGAATGGAAGTGGGAACACGTGACCATGGACTTCGTGGTGGGGCTACCACGAACAGTGAACAACTACGACGCAGTATGGGTAGTGGTTGATAGGCTCACCAAGAGTGCACACTTTTTGCCTATCAACATTACTTATCCTCTTGAAAGATTGGCAAAGCTATACACGGAGGAGATTGTGAGACTACATGGAGTCCCGATATCCATTGTCTCGGATAGGGATCCACGATTCACATCTCGGTTTTGGCCCAAGTTTCAAGCATCTTTGGGTACTAAATTGAAGTTTAGCACAGCTTTTCATCCGCAGACGGATGGACAATCTGAGAGAGTGATACAGATCCTGGAAGATATGCTTAGGGCATGTGCTTTGGAGTTCCAAGGAAGTTGGGACAAGCATTTGGCTCTAGTTGAGTTTGCCTATAACAACAGTTATCAGGCGAGTATTGGCATGCCTCCATACGAGGCATTGTATGGGAGGAAATGCAGAACACCGTTGTGTTGGGACGAGGTTGGCGAGGCCAAGCTCGAAGGGATAGAACTTGTTGAAATCACCAAGGCTAAGGTGAAGGTCATTCAGGATAGACTTAAGGCTGCCCAAGATCGGCAGAAGAGTTATGCCGACAAACGACGAAGGCCATTGGAGTTCGAGGTCGGAGATAAGGTCTTCCTAAGGATTTCTCCTTGGAAGGGTATCATCCGATTTATATCGAGGGGAAAGCTTAACCCCAGATATATTGGTCCATTTGAAATCCTTGAAAGGATAGGGGCTGTGGCATACCGTCTCAAGTTGACGCCGGAACTTGAGAAGATACATGACGTGTTTCATGTATCGATGCTCAAGAAATACGTGAGAGATCCATCTCATATTCTTGAGAAGCCACCGGTGGAGATACGTGAAGATCTACAATATGCGGTGGAACCGGTAAGGATTGTGGGTCAACAGGTGAAGAAACTGAGGAACAAGGAAATTCCTATGGTGAAGGTTCTTTGGAGAAGTGATCGAGTCGAAGAAGAAACCTGGGAGACTGAGGTCTCAATGAGGGAGCAATACCCGTTTCTTTTCGATTAGGCACGTGGATTTCGGGGACGAAATCCCAAATAAGGGGGGGTGAACTTGTAACACCGCCCCCAAATGTATTTACTTGTAAGTGAATAATGTATTGAACCTGGTGGAATGATTAATGAGAATACGAAGTTGTGAATTTTTATTAATTATTTTGCGCGAATAGTAAATTCGCACGTGGGGCCCACACCGGGAGCGGGGGCCGCCCAATATTCCCCGGACCACATAAATTATTCATCTTGGTCTAGATAATATTTATATGGTGGTGGATAACTCATTTGAGCCATGGAAAGGTCCAGAGTTGACCAATCGGTCAAAAGAGGCCCAAATACCGGTATTGGCAATTTAACCGATAAAAGCCCGAAATTGAATTTCGGGGACTTATAAATTAAAGTTGGGGGATGTATATTCTTCATAAGTGTCATAATGATTAATAACACATAAAATATTTTATTCGACCCGATAAAATAAATTATATTTAAACAGTCCGAAAAATACAACTTTCGGGGCCGATTGTACACTTCGGGACACAAGGGGATGACCTCCCACATGAGTGGGGGCCACCCCACGTTTTTATGTGCTGGAATAGACAAACATGGGGGATGGTTGACTTGGAAGGAGAGGGGTGAGGTGATGAGCATCAAAGGTACACCTATGACCCCATTTCCCTCACTCATTGGTCCAAACAAGACAAAAGCTATCCACCCCCCTCACCACCATCATTCATTCGGCCAACACATCTCAAGCAAGAGAAAAACCTCCCAGCAAAATATCATCCTCCATAGCCAAGGGCAAGCTCAAGCTCAAGGAGAAAGTTCAAAGAAAGAAAAAGGAGGAAAAGTGAGGTGTATTAAGGTAATGACCTCATAATGAGTTTCCTTCATTCCTTTACCATCATATGACTTATATAGCATATGAATAACCCTTGTTATGGTTCTACATATTTACATATGTAGGAAATTGGGTTGGAAGGTGATTCTATGTCCAAACACGGACATAGAAGCCAAAACGACCGGTGTACCGGAAAATAACCTTTTAGGGGTTATTTGTATTGATTAAGGTTTTATGATGTTAAAACCTTGTTAGGAACTTGATTAAAGTATTTTTGAGCTTCACCGGAGTTTCGCCGGAGTTGGTCAAAGTTCACCGGAGTTGGTCAAAGTTTGCCGGAATTAGTCAAAGTTCAACCGCGGAGCGTAGAACACGCTTAAGCTCACTTAAGGTGAGGATGACCGACTATATTGCTTATAATCTTTGGGTTAATTTCATGAGATTCCCTAAATGAATATACAATGTGATTTGCATGGATTATTAATGGTTAATAATGCCTAAATGAAATTACTATTGATTATAAGTATAGCTTGCATAATATACAAATTTATTGAATAAATTGTGTATGTCTAAATGTTATGAATATGGTGGCATGATAGTAGTATCAACCATAAATTCCCATTTGTGATAAGTATACTTTTATTTCATGAGAAAAGGCCATGAAGGAATAAAAGTGATATTTTGATATTGAGACCAAATTACATATTGAATGAAGAAATTATTACATTGAAATGAGTAAATAACTAGTATTGAAATATTAGTTGGAATTGTAGTTGAATAATGGATGAATGGATCCTAGGAAATTGAATTGTAATGAATCGGTGATTATTGAGCTGGGCTCTAGACCGTAGTAGTTATCGGTGATTATTGAGCTGGGCTCTAGACCGATGTAGATAACGGTGATTATTGAGCTGGGCTCTAGACCGTGGTAGTTATCGGTGATTATTGAGCTGGGCTCTAGACCGATGTAGATAACGGTGATTATTGAGCTGGGCTCTAGACCGTAGTAGTTATCGGTGATTATTGAGCTGGGCTCTAGACCGATGTAGATGACGGTGATTATTGAGCTGGGCTCTAGACCGTAGTAGGTAACGGTGATTATTGAGCTGGGCTCTAGACCGTGATAAGAAATGATGAATTGACACTAAACGAATAAAGTTAACCACGATATAATAACACCCTAGGTTGAGGGTCTTGGAAATTGAAACGTTGATTATATTTAGTATAGTTGTCATTGTACTTGTCAAATGCTTCCAAGTACTGACCTCCCCTTCACGGGGGAGGCCACCTCACAGTTTCAGGTAGAACTTGAAGGTTGCTACCACCGCCCGTTGCTTCGGGAAGATCAAAGGAGGGAGACGTGGTTCGTGCTTCTTCCGTTCCTGTTTTAAAAACATTTAAATTAATGCTCATGGATATTATATTTTTGAATAATTATTTGGGGGCTTGTATGCCCAAGTTTGCCAAGTGTGGCATGAATATTTGTATCAAATGTTTCCGCTGCTTGAATGAATGTTTTACATTATGCTTGTTTATGGATGTACTATGTGTGAATGATATCCCAGACGCCTTGTATAGTATGGATGTGTTGAACTGTGGTTGACTATTCGTACTGTACGGCGGATTGTTGACGTGTCCGGATAGGTCCGGGGCGTGACATCTCACATCGCTCACACACGAGTTTATGCGCACACTTATAAGCAGAGCCCGAAGTCTTCACATGTGGACGTGTTTTAAGGCCATGAGGTCCTGAAGTACCAAATCGGATGTTGAAAATTTATTGAGCAATGGAGCTGAAATGTTCAACATGATATTTGGAATATTATTTTAATAATTATTGCCTAGCATTAATTATTAAAGATAATGCTAAATAATATTAATTATAAATATTATTATGGAAATTATGGTACTAAAGTATTATTTTAGTTAACATAATTGAAATAATAATAATAGTAATTAAATTCTGAAATGGTCATGCGTATCAACGTATGTTGTGTTTTTAATTCAAAAATAAATTGATTTTATAATTTGATGGTGCACCAACATTTTATTAACTTCAAAAGGTGTGTGTCTTTAAAAGTATATGCGAAAATGTTGTTGGGTTAACCTACAGTTAGCAATACAACTTCAGCCAATAGAAACTTCAGCCAATACAACCAGAAAAGTAACTCCAGCCTTAATTTTTCAGCTTATTACAAAATTCAGAGCTCGAAATCAAAAGTTACGTGTTTGGTGTAAATCTGGTTGATAAGTCTGATAAGCCGAAAAAAGGGATCACCAAACGGACTCTATATTTAAAATCGTCATTGATCTGCCCATTGTCATCCCTATGTATAACGTGAAAGCTAGACTGAACCGATCAACAAATTTAATTCTAAACAAATTTTTAGTTTATAAAAATCAAATGACCCAATTAGAATAATTTTTTGGACTCAGATATTTTCTTAAATACAATGAACTCTAAAATTAAGATCTCACAATTCTTCTTTCATGTACTTTATTTCATTTGAAGTGATAAAAAGTAGTTATAACATTGTGTTTTTCAAACATTTACATCTTTCAAATATTCTTGCCATCTTTATGGTATTTGTAACCATGTTATGTCACCACACGTGATTCAAAACTATTCAAAGATGTAAATATTTAAAAAAATAACATTTTATAAATATTTTTTGTTACCTCAGAAGAATGTAAAAATAATCATTAGATATTAATTTTAGCACCTTAATTTATTTATGAAAAATGTTTTTTTCTGAAAAATTCTATCAATCATACCTTGAGATTTTTGTAAAAATATTGGTTTAGAATTAGACTAGTGTAACACCCGGGGCATGCCCCGGTAGACGGTAGTGTTACTTTTATATGGATTAAAATGAGAAATATTGATAAAAAAAGATACCACATATAAATTATTTATATAATCAGAAGTTTAAATGGAATGAATGTTAGTTATGAATTAATCAAAACCAATTATAAATTGGTATCTCTAAAATGCCCGTCTGTATTTAAACTTTAATTTGACTTACATGTAATTCGATCATATTTTTAAATAGAATGAATGTTGTCCTCAATTCAATATCACTAAAATTTTAATTTTTCATTTTACCTTTTACTTTTTATTGACTCATACTCCGTATTACTTTTGGGAAGTTTAAATAGAATGAATAATGTCCACTAAAGTTAACATGATCACATGATCACATTTTTGTCCACGCATTTATAATTTATGATTGGTTTTGATTAATTTTACTTAATAAGTTACTAAAAGTTAACATGATCACATTTTTTTACTACTTCCATTTGGTTAATTATATATTTGGAATTATTTCGTAATCTATTACGTTTAGTAAAAATTCCAATTTGTTTAAATTGTGCATGAAATTCCATATTGATTTTAAGTCGCATCAGTTTTTAAGAATAAACTTTAATTTATATCTTATTAGGTACGATGTATTAGTTATTTGTTTGATTGCTTTAACTTGGAATGAGTAAAATAATGGTTGTCTTAATTCTCCGGTTCAAATAAACTTCACAGCAATCAACTTTTAGGGGAATTGAGTTTTTATGATATGTGTTGTGATTTATATGGTTGGTTGCGTGGTGAAGAAAGGAGTGCTACGGTTGTTTTTACTTGGACTGAAATTTGCTGGTCTGGTCTGATCTAGTCTGTTATGCTCTAGTCTGAACTGGTCTAGGCTGGTCAGATAAATGTTTGGTTTCTGTATTTTATAACCATGGAAGTCTGGTCTGTTCTGATCTAGTTTGGTCTGAGACTAAAAACAATCCAAATAAAAACATCCTACATTGAAAGTTTTTGAGTGAACAAAGCCTTCATTATATATACATAGTATTAGGTTCCAATAAAAAAGGCTGCTTTCACGTTTGCATAATAAGTAGAAATTGTCCTAAATAGGAGTTAACATTTTTTGAAATTCCAATAGGACTTTCATGTTTTTATCTTTAAATAGGAGTAATTTTGTCAAGTTTGGAAAAAATGTCATGTTTAAAACCTAGTAATGCCAAATTTGATAGAAATTTACTCCTATTTAGGGAATAAAAAAACATGATAGTTCTATTTTGGAATTTCAAAACCTTTTTAATCCTATTTAGGGAATTCTCACAATAATAAGTTGCTTATTCAATTGGGAGCTGTTTTAATTAATTTGTGATGCAATTTTTTCTTCAAAATTTATGAAATTGTCGTATTAATTGTAATCTCCGTATTAAATTTATATATTCCCATTAGAGTCCTATTAGGTATTGACTATTGAACAAATAGCCAACCGTAAACAATTGAATCCTATTTTCATGTGTAAATGGTTTGGTATAAGACGGTAAGCTAAGTATTCATAAGTTGAAATTAATTAAATGGTTTTAAAATATTAACAATATTGTTTTTCGTTGTTGACCAATAATAGAGTGACATGTCAGCTTTGTATAACTGTGTTTTACTATATAAAACAATTGATAATAGATAGATTTTATTTTTATTTTTATTATATATATGATATTGATCTCATATGAAAGATCATAAAAAAATATTAAATTTGATATATTTTTTATTATAATTGGATTAGAAATGTAAAAATTATTTCATTTTTAAAAAGAGATATTTTTTCTCCTTCCATTGCTCCATATCAGCCGTGTGATTTAAGGGAGTGAATAGTATTCATCAAATGTAAATTAATTAATGTTTTCAATTGTATTGTAGTGACATGACGAGCACTTTGTCGTAGTGTGCTTCAAATTAAATTCACTACTAAGGGCTAATACCGTAGTATAGCGTAATAGAGTTCGTATCCACAGGGAAAAGAGCTTTTCGCGTATGTGTAAGCGTAATAAATAAAAGTAAATGGAATAGGGAATTGGATATTTTGATAATTGAGAAAGCAAATAAAATACTTAAATGAGTGAAATAAAATATCAAAGGTAATTAGTCTTGGTTTTGCTTTTATCCACTTAATGAAATGTTCGTCGATCCCGGTTATATCTTTAACTATCTTCCTCTCGAATACTCAATCGAGGAGTATATCCAGTTCATCGAGAGTAGTTATTAATAACGAGACGCGTTCATTAAAAAAACTTACTACTGAGTTAATATAAAACACGCGCCGTATATTAACCCGATAATAGCAATAAAATCAAGATGAAAACGATTGAGATTGATATCCTCAACACAAGCGGTTTATCGGTTTAATCAATATAATTAATAATTAATTTTCCTTCAGTTATTAACCATGAGATGCATGCATTAACAACCCAAATTTACTACCGTGAAAGGACCGAATTAATAACAAGTGTATTAATCGATCGATTCTAGTAATAATTAATATATGAAACAAAACTTAGTTGATCCTTTAAGTAATGCTCAAAATATTAATATGAAATAGGAATAGGAATTAATTAATATTCAAGGAAGAAGATTAAAGAAAATAACTCACAACTTACAATTCATTAGGCTTCAAAATAACAAAACCAAGATCAAAAGTTTCAAAGTAGCAAAACCAAGACCAAAAGACTACCCAAATTACAAGAATAAAGTGTATATGAAAGAGGGGATTAATTGGTATCTAAAATAGGAAGGAAAGGGGTGTTTTATAGGAGAAGTGAGGTGGTTGGGTCTAAGACATAATCTGATTTTCCCATGTTCACTTGCTTTATTTGATCTCTTATGATCTCCGGGTCAAATCATATCCGATTTTTCACATTCCTTTGTTCTCCATGAAGCTTCCTCTTGTCTCCAATGCTCCTTCCTTATGCTCCCAAGCTCCTTCTTCTTTTCATCATGTTTTTGCTTACATATCAAAATATCTTAATATCTTCTAATTCTACTTTAATTTTAGAAGATAAAGATTACACCGTAATTGTACAAAAGCTAAGTAAACATAATGTAAAACCATTCTAACATGAGTACCTATATATTGAGCATACATTACTTACAAAATGAGCATTGATATGAAAATCATAAGTTTTGTAGTTGAACTTCAAGACACTTTTATTGAGCATCAAACCTTCTCTATTGAGTATTAGGAAAAACATGAAATTGAGTATCATGGTCTGTGCTTATGTGTCTATAATCAACTCCTACGAGAATCTAATTTAATATGGTACTATTGAAATATGCATTGATATAACATGTCAAATGAGTATAACACCGGTACAAAATGAGCATACAGTATTACCAAATGAGCAATGATACGAAAATAATCAGTTTTGTTAGTTGAGCAATCAAGAATTTTCGTTGAACATCAAAACTTCATCTATTGAGTATCAGAAGCATGCAATTGAGTGTCTGTAATCAACTTTCATTCAAATATAATGTAATATGATAGTTTTCAAATGTGCATTGATATGACATTTTAAAATGAGCATAAAATCATATCAGATGAGCATACATACGTAACTTACGAAACGAGCATCGAAAAATTCAATAGCTCATTTGAATTCTCTAATGTGCTCAAATATTCATTTGTGTATGTTCATTTCTTTTAATCGTTATACTATTCCTTTCTATAATATGTACATATAGTCAATACACAATTAACAATTTACTAAACTATTATAGATAACAAAGAGAAATAGAATAGTTTTATATTAAAAAAATAGAGTATTTCATTCTTGAATTACAAATGTAATCA